AGCCCAGGAGTTAGAGGTTGCTGTGAGCTGTGATGCCAGAGCACTCTACCCAGGGGGACAGCTTGAGGCTCTGTCTCAAAAAAAAAAAAATGTACATTTCTTTCTTTCTTTCCTTTTTTTGCAGTTTTTGACTGGGGCTGGGTTTGAACCCGCCACCTCTGGCATATGGGGCCAGTGCCCTATTCCTTTGAGCCACAGGCGCTGCCCTAAGATGTACATTTCTACATCTCTGGAATTATAATACCCCTGAAAAATTAGTCATCTTTAGATTAGTGGTGCCTTTGGTTCATTGAGCTAAGACAGATCCTGGATTCCCTGAATGACTTCCTGGGCATCTCTCCCCTCTATTCCACAGACTCCTCTCTGCCTCAATTGCTCTGGCCTCCCTGGAGACCCCTCCCTGGGGGACGCAAGGAGCCCCATGCCCTGCAATGGCAGTGTGGCCAGGGGGGACTTTGACCTAGAGGACCTGAACCTGACTGAGGAGGCACTGAGACTTAAGTACCTGGGGCCCCGGCAGACAAAGATGTTCCTGCCCATCTGTGCTGTTTACCTGCTGATCTTTGTGGTGGGCACCGTGGGCAATGGACTGACCTGTCTGGTCATCCTGCGTCACAAGGCCATGCGGACACCCACCAACTACTACCTCCTCAGCCTAGCCGTGTCAGACCTGCTGGTGCTGCTGGTGGGCCTGCCCCTGGAGCTCTATGAGATGTGGCACAACTACCCCTTCCTGCTGGGCATTGGCGGCTGCTATTTCCGCACGCTGTTCTTTGAAACAGTCTGCCTGGCCTCGGTGCTCAATGTCACTGCCTTGAGCGTGGAGCGCTACATGGCTGTGGTGCACCCACTGCAGGCCAGGTCCATGATGACAAAGGCCCATGTGCGCCGGGTGCTGGCTGTGGTCTGGGGCCTTGCTGTGCTGTGCTCTCTGCCCAACACCAGCCTGCATGGCATCCAGCAGTTGCATGTGCCCTGCCGGGGCATTGTGCCCAACTCGGCCATATGCACGCTGGTCCGCCCACGGGCCCTTTACAACCTGGTGGTACAGACCACCACGCTGCTCTTCTTCTGCCTGCCCATGGCCACCATCAGCGTGCTCTACCTGCTCATCGGGCTGCGATTGCGGCAGGAGAGGCTGCTGCTCAGGCAGAAGGCCAAAGGCAGGGGTGCTGCAGTGGCTGGGCCTGGAGATACCCACAGGCTCCAGCTACAGGATAAGAGCCGGAGACAGGTGACCAAGATGCTGTGTAAGTGTCCCTGCTGGGAAGTGGGGCTGATCCAGGGGCTTGTCTGAGGCTGGGGCTCCCAGGGCCTAGGAAAGGGACTGGGTGTCTGCATTGTGGGGGCGGGGGTATGTGATTTGGAGGAGCTCTTCTCACCCATGTGTGGTATGTGTGTGTATTCATGTATGCACGCCTCTGTATTCTTTTAGATTACACTGCTGGAAAACTTACATCAATGGCTTGTGGTAGGAGTAATTTGTGGGTCTAGTGCAAAATGAGAATTCAGGGTCCTTTTTTTTTGAGACAGAGTCTTACTTTGTCGCCCTCAGTAGAGTGCTGTGGCATCACAGCTCACAGTAACCTCCACCTCTTGGGTTTAGGCAATTCTCCTGCCTCAGCCTCTCGAGTAGCTGGGACTACAAGTGCCACATGCCTGGATATTTTTGTTGTTGCACTTTGGCCAGGGCTAGGTTTAAACCCGCTGCCCTTGGTATATGGGCCCAGGGCCTTACCTGCTGAGTCATAGGCGCTGCCCTTTTTTTTTGTAGTTTTTTGGCCGGGGCTGGGTTTGAACCTACCACCTCTAGTATGTGGGGCCAGCCACAGGTGCCACCCCCCACCCTTTTTTTGAGACAGAGTCTCACTATGTCACCCTCTGTAGAGTGCGGTCGCATAATAGCTCACAGCAACCTCAAACTCTTGGGCTTAAGTGATTCTCTTGCCTTAGTCTCCCAAGTAGCTGGGACTATAGGTGCCCACTACAACGCCCAGCTATTTTTTTTTTTTTGTTGTCGTCATTGTTATTTAGCTGGCCCAGGCCGGGTTCGAAACCACCAGCCTTGGTGCATGTGGCTGGTGCCATAATCACTGTGCTATGGGTGCCAAGTCCAAATTCAGGTTCCTTGTTCAAAAATTATTAAGAATGTCAAGTCAACAACAGTAAAGCATTAAACCAAGCTCAGGGCCCTTCTACCTATGCATCTGAATAGGTTGTGCAGCCACAAAGCTAAAAAACTCAGAAAGGGTAGGGTCACAAGGATGCAGGTAGATGGGCTCCAGGATGATAAGAACAGGCATCTGGACCCACTAAGGCTCTCACCTTGGTTCCTAAACACATCTCAGCTCTGTTCTTCCCTGCATCATCCTGTGAGGCATGGTTAGTGGCATATGATCCCTTTTCCTGAGGAACTGCCCTCTTTCCTAGGTGGCTGTTGAAAAGTCCCAGGGAAGAGTTCTGATTCGTGGGACTTAGGTCATGGCCCACTGCTGAGTCAGAGTGGTGTGATACTGAGGTGCCACACAGCCCTAGTGGAACCACATAGTGGGATCTGGGGAGAGCAAAGTCCCCCAAAGGGGAGAGGGAGATCCTGGAGGGGCAGGATGGTGAGTTTTCTCCATGCTATGTCTACGGTTCTCTGGGAACCACGGGAATGAGCATTTGTTTAAAAAGGCTCATCAGGAGGTGTGTGTGCAAGGCTGTCACACAGCACAGAAGAATCTGGCCAGAAGTGTGGACTGGGCCAGTCCAGGGCTCACCTGGCTAGGTTGAGACTCTGCATCTTTCTGTGACCTAGACCTGGCTCTTTTTTAAAAGTAGTGGCCCAGGGGAAGTGAGACAAACTGATACTAAGCCACCTATTAATTCCCTGTCCACACCTCTGCTGCCCAGGTCAGCCCCACCTCAGCAAGGCTGGGGTGCTGAATCAGGCTAGTGGGGCAAACCAGGCAGGACAGGGCTGCATGGCCCTGGGTCAGAGCCAGTAACTGGGGACTTTCCCCATCCCCTGAGAAAGACCCTCCTTTCACCCTCTAGGCACTGTGTCTCAGAGCCCAGAGTCACTTGTGCAGGTGCTGACAGGGACTCACCCCAGAACTCTGTGCATACCTCCCAGCCCTTCACTGTGAGGTCTGCACTAAGGGTCAACTTGTTCTACCCACCCCACTTTGGGCTCCTACCTACCGCCCTGGGACAGCTCATCCCTAGAAAGGGGGCTTTCTGCTTGTTGCCCTGGGACCACTGGCCCCTCCTCCCTCCCTCCCCTCACTCCCTCTTTCCCTCATGCTCACTTTCCCAGGGCCTGCTGTGCACCAGGCTGTGTGCTTGGGGTGCTATAAACAGTGTCCTTTTTGAAATATGGGATTATGAGGAAAACCATGCTAGGGTTTGATGAGGAAGACACTGGCCAGGAAAGATAGCATGTTGGAGAAGCAAATTTAAGAAACAACAAACAAAATTCAAGGCTGGCCCGGTGGATGAGGCCTAAGGGCAATGGCTGGGTCAGACCAGGATAGAAAAGAATTTCAGAGAAAGAGCAAAGGCTTGGATAGCCTGTCCTACGTTTTGCTGGGTTGATTGGGAGTGGGGGAGATGGCAAGAAAAGGGGGAGAAATGAACTGCCGGGGCAATTGTTATAAAAAAAGAAAAAGGGGTGCGGCGCCTGTGGCCCAGTGAGTAGGGCATCAGCCCCATATACCGAGGGTCATGGGTTCAAACCCGGCTCCAGCCAAACTGCAACAAAAATATAGCCGGGTGTTGTGGCAGGTACCTGTAGTACCATCTACTCCAGAGGCTGAGGCTAGAGGATTGCCTAGGCCCAAGAGCTAGAGGTTACTGTGAGCTATGTGATGCCACGGCACTCTACCGAGGGCGATAGAATGAGACTCTGTCTCTACAAAAAAAAAAGGGGTATTCAGTATAGGACAAGATATTCAGTTGAGTCTTGGGGATGTGGGGCTGGGGCTGGGGGGGTCCAGGCAGAGGTGGGCACACCATGTGTGAGGGTATGAGCTTGGTGCACGTGTGTGTCTAGCTCTCTGGCTACCACAACCTCTCTGTCTGCTGCTCTCTGAGCATGTGCCCCATTCTCCTCCTTCTCCATTTTGTGCATCAGCAAGCATTGCCCCCCAGTGGGCACCCAGAGTGGCCCTTGCCCCCCAGCATCACCAATTCCAAATTCCAGGGTGAAAGAATCTGATTGGACTAGCTAGGCTCAGGTATCCACACTTGGTCCATTTGGCTGTGGACAGAGGCAGGGACACAACCCATTGCCCAACCAGTGAGAGTGGGGGACAGCCTCTCTGAAAGGGGTGTGGCAAGATCAGACTGATTCCCAGAAACTTCCAACTGGGTGATGGGTGTGGGTGGCCTGTGGACCAAATTGAAGGCCAGGAAGGCCGTTGAGAAGGCTTCTTTTTTATCCCTGCAGTTGTGCTGGTCGTGGTGTTTGGCATCTGCTGGGCCCCGTTCCACGCTGACCGCCTCATGTGGAGCTTTGTGTCCCACTGGACGGAGGGCCTGCTCCTGGCCTTCCAGTATGTGCACGTTGTCTCTGGTGTCTTCTTCTATCTCAGCTCGGCCGCCAACCCTGTGCTCTACAGCCTCATGTCCAGCCGCTTCCGAGAGACCTTCCAGGAAGCCCTGTGCCTTGGGACTCGCAGCCACAGACCCTGCCACAGCTCCTACAACCTCAGCAGGGTGACCATGGGGAGCACCCTGTGTAACATGGGCTCCCTAGGTAGCAGGGCCCACCTTTTGGCTGAGAACAGTGGCCCAGAGGGACAGCAAGAGACCAAGCCCTCCTAAGTGGAGCCTCAAAGTGGCTTCACCTAGAGGGTCACATGAAGTCTGAGGAGACACAGCTGCCTTCCTCTGTAGGGATGTCCTTGGGTCCTATCCACCTGTGTGTCCTGTCCCCAATTCAGCCAAGAAACTCTGCACCTCTGTGACTCCTGGCTCTACCTATGTATTTGAGATTTGAGGGAAACAAGAGAAAGGATCAGTCCCCAATTATTGAGGGTGCACATCGTGCCAGGTACTGTATTGTGTGCCTTTGATCCCTGCAGACTCCCATATCCCAGTTAAAGTCCTTCCTCTGCAGATGCATTGCAATTAGCTAGACTCAGCTGTCCTCTTTCTGGGGACTTCCCCCCACCCTGATTTCTGCTGTGTTTCTGTGGGGCCCTTGCTTTCCTCCTCATGTCTCATGGAGCTCCTGCAGGTTCTGGCAGGGGTGGCCTGCAATCCAGCGCACCTGGTTCCAATCTCAGCCCTGCTGCCACCACTTTGCCATCCAGCAAGTCCACCCACCTTTCTAGGCCTTGGTTCTTTGCTTGCAAAATGAAAAAGGTGCCAACTTTCTACAGTGTCATACTTTGGCTCTTTGGCTGTGGTTTTCTGTGTGAGTGCATAAGTCACTATTTATATAAAGAAACCAGCTGATACCCTCAGATTGACAGGGCAGAAATTATTCTCTGCATCCTTATCACCTCTACTTCCTCCCTGACCTCTACACGACCCCTAGACCCATGGCCAGTTCTTTGCTTGTCCTAGGGCAGGTGGGGTGGGCCAGTGTGGGACTGCCTCTGCCTCCGTTCTGCTATACACAGGCTGGGGCAAAGGGTCTCTGGGGACAAGATACAGGCAGCCAGGAGCAAGGAGTGACCCTGTGGGGAAAGTTCTGCTGGGCTTAGTGAAGTGAGAACAGGAACAGGAATGGGAACTCCGGGAAACTGAGTTCCACCCGATCCACCTCAGACTTCAGGATAGATCCTGAATTTGTTCCCAAAGACCAACTCTGGACTCCCAGAGGCCTCTGGTTAGTGGCAGTAGGAGGTGATACATGGTTTCAAACTGCTGTGGGCAGCGAGTATTTACGAAGGGCCTGTTATGTGTAAGGGGCGCTATGTGGATTATGGAGGTGGGTCTGAGCTGGAAGGGTGTTCCTTAGTGTGAGCATGATATATGTCTCAGACTGTCTCCACAGCATGTCAGCAGACAGGTCCCATTGGTCACAAGTCACCAGCTACTACAGAAAATGGAAACAGCAGCTCTGGGCTCAGCCCTTGAGAAAAAGGAAATGGAAAGTCAGCAGCAAGACCCAGCCGGAATTCCCCCATCACTTCCTGTGTAGGCCCTGGGACAGCCCTGAAGCAGCACTCTAACCCACCCCACCCTCTTAGGAGGTGTTGCTCCCTTCCTTCCCCACTGGCCATGCTGATTCCCCTGTGCTACTCACAGGCCAGGTTCTTATAGCTCTGGAGACCTTCCTTCACCCCAGCTCTTGGCCCCAGCTGGCACCTCACTCCCAGAGACGGGAGTTTTTTCATTTCTGAAAGTGTGAACTCTTACCCACCAAGGTTTCCTTCCTACTCTGTTACTCTGTTGCTCCCATGACAGATTTAATTCTTTAACCTTACCCACACTTCTGGGTTCTAGAGTGATCTTTCTCTTAATCCATCCTTTTCCTCTGAGCTTCACCTTCTCTAATCCCCCCTGTTCATCACATCCATCCTTCTCTGCCAGTATTCCTGAAAGCCAGGGTGAGGATACTGGAATAATCATTCCCTTCTCAGAAAGAGGCTTAGTTTTCTTGGATATTAAAGGTCCAAAATTAGTCTAATCATCAAAGTCTCATCTGCCCACCCTTCCTTTGTCAAGTATCTACTGGGGGGAGTTGAAGTGTGCAGCATCTAACATCTGTTCTCTACATATTTGGATGGTATTTCTAAATCAATCCTGACATCTGGGAGCCCCCCCTCATTTTTATACACGTCTCAGGGTCTCCTCCTTCCCCCATTCTTTTTTTTTTTTTTGAGACAGAGCCTCAAGCTGTCCCCCTGGGTAGAGTGCCGTGGCATTACAGCTCACAGCAACCTCCAACTCCTGGGCTCAAGCGAGTCTCCTGCCTCCGCCTCCCAAGTAGCTGGGACCACAGGCGCCCGCCACAACGCCCGGCTATTTTTTGGTTGCAGCCGTCATTGCTGTTTGGTGGGTCCGGGCTGGGGATTCAAACCCGCCACCTTAGGTGTACGTGGCTGGCGCCTTAGCCGGTTGAGCTATAGGCGCCGAGCCCCCCCATTCTTATTGTTTAACAGATCCAACAAGTTTTTTTGTTCCAAGGTTTCCTGCAGAGCAGAGTTGCCTTTTGGGGAGGTAGGGGGACACCCTAGCATTTGAACTTTCCCACTGATGAGGATCACTGGGTGACTCAGTGGGAGACCAAGCCCAGGTTCCTCCTACAGAGGCTGAAAGACTGCTGGATGCTCTCCACTGCTGATGCCTACCATGTGGCACATGACAAACCCAGCCAGCTGAATGACCCAACATGGGACTTGCATCTAGAGCAAGTGACACTAAGACACACAACAAAAGGGCAGTGTGTCCAGGAGCAGCAGCATCCTACCCAGCCTCTCTTGGATTCTGCCCTTCGTCCAGCCTCTGCTGATGTTTTGCGATACAGAGAACTTTTCACCAAATTCCTTTTCTGTTTAAGTTGGCCAGAGTCATTTGCAACCAAGGACCTTAACAGAGCCAGCTGTCCACTGGTTTGAAGTTTACACATCCTATTTGATCTACTAATGGTTATCTTTACACATTTCTAAGTTAACCAGATATACATATTGTCACTGATTTTTTTAAACTTCAAATAATAAGTCTGTAATACTTCACAATTATTCTCTCTCTCCCTAAAAGGCAGAAAAATAAAGACAAATTTATGAAATTTGATCCTACAAAAAGCTGTATATATTTCTAACAGTCTAAACCTCTCCAGCACAACACAAGAACATCAGGCTTGGCGCCTGTAGCTCAGTGGCCAGGGCGCCAGCCACATACACTAGGGCTGGACAGTTCGAATTTGGCCCGAGCCTGCCAAACAGCAATGACAACAACAACAAAAAATAGGGCAGTGCCTGTGGCTCAAAGGAGTAGGGCGCTGGCCCCATATACCGAAGGTGGTGGGTTCAAACCTAGCCCTGGCCAAAAAACCCACAAAACTGCAACAACAAAAAAATAGCTGGCCATTTTGGCAGGTGCCTGTAGTCCCAGCTACTTGGGAGGCTGAGGCAAGAGAATCACTTAAGCCCAAGAGTTTGAGGTTGCTGTTAGCTGTGACACCACGGGACTCTACTGAGGGCGACAAAGTAAGACTTTGTCT